TAAAATCACATTTCAGTACAAATAGAATACCACCATAAACATATTTTTGCCAACAAGAAATAAACTTGTTTAATTATAAAAGACACATATAGTACTATGAGCAATCTATAGACTCAATGCATTCCCTAAGAAAATTCCAATAGAATTCTTCACAGAAATAGAAACAAAATCTTAAAATTCATATGGAAGCACAAAAGGTCCTGAGCAATGTTAGAAGGAAGCACCACTGTATCTGTCTTCAAGCTAGACTATACATAGTAACAAAAGCAGCCTGACAGTAGCACAGGACTTGTGGATCAATGGATTAAAACTAGAGGCAGATAGAAGCCCACTGCTCTTCCTGAGGTCTGGAGTTCTGTTCCCAGTACTCACATTGAGCAGCTTTCAACTACCTGTAACTCCCATCCCAAGGGGATCCAGTACCCTTTTCTGGCCACTAAGGCACTGCACTCATGTACAAACAGACACATATAATTAAAGCCAATTTTTTTAAAAGAAAAGATAATAGCACATGCTTTGTAAGCTGTGGACAAGCTAGAACCCTGTGCAGTGCTAGTAGGAGTGTAAACTAGTCCAGTCACTATGGAAGTCAGTATGAAAGTTACTAATGATAAGTCTACCATATGACCCAGCCTAATGCTCCTGGGTACTCTCCTGAAGGTGCTTAATTTAACAGATCACATAGATACTTGCACATCAATATTTATTGCAGTCTTATTCATGGTGGCTAAATTGTGGGGCCAATCTTAGGTGTCTGTTGGTAGAGGAATGGATAAACAGAAGCTGGCATAGATATATGTAGCTGGAGTTTTTTCTCCAGGTCTCGCCAAGCCCTGGCAGTCCAACAGCCCACTTATAAAATAAACACACAGACGCTTATATTATTTAAACTGTTTGGCCTAATGGCTCAGGCTTCTAGCTATCTAGTTCTTACATCTTAAATTAATCCACTTCTATAAATCTATTCCTTGAGACATGGCTTGTAGCTTACCAGTGTCTTCACATGCTGCTTGTCATGGTGGTGGCTGAAAGTGTCTCCTTCCGCCTTCCTAGTTCTCTCAATTCTCCTCGCTGTTAGTCCTGCCTATACTTCCTGCCTGGCCACTGGCCAATCAGTGTTTTATTTATTGACCAATCAGAGCAACACATTTGACATACAAACCATCCCACAGCAGATACATAATGGAATCTTTTCAGTCATGTATGTGTTTTAGGGAGAGGGAGATATGAACTTTAAAAATGGCTGATTTCGCCGGTTGGTGGTGGCACACACCTTTAATCCCAGTACTTGGGAGGCAGAGCCAGGTGGATCTCTGTGAGTTCGAGGCCAGCCTGGTCTACATAGTGAGTTCCAAGAAAGGCACAAAGCTACACAGAGAAACCCTGTCTCAAAAAACAAAGCAAAGCAAAACAAACAAAAACAAAAAATGAACAAACAAAAAAACACCTTCAAACTCATCTGGCTTTGGAGTAGCAGATCTAGTGGAATGTCCTGTGTTCTCATTGGCATCATTTTCTGCCTGTGGTTTAATCTGGAAGTTGTGTGCCTCTTGAACTAAGGCTGGCAAGACAAGTAGCCTGAACAGAAGCTCTCTCTCCACCTGAGGAGTGCAGCTGGCTGTACTGTGGGAAGGGGTCGGTCTTAGCAGAGGTGGAACCTGTGGACTCACTGTGTGAGTCATCAATTGCAAGTCTGCACAGATGATTTCTAGCAAACGCTGCATTCTGTGTGTGACCTTCCTGCCTCCCCTTTGTGTAGCAGGAGTCTTAAAAGTTCTTATTAATAGGGCTGGAGAGATGGCTCAGGGGTTAAGAGCACCAGCTGCTCTTCCAGAGGTCCTGAGTTCAATTCCCAGCACCCACATGGTGGCTCACAACCATCTGTAATGAGATCTGGCACCCTCTTCTGTATACATAATAAATAAATAAATCTTAAAAAAAAAAGTTCTTATTAATAAAACAAACCCAGAGCCAAGTATTGGAGTGAACACTGGAAGATCAGAGAGACAGAACAAGCCACAGCTAACCTCACCTGGCCAACTTTTCAGCTGATCTTGTTTCCTCAGACTGGAAGCCTCTGTGTCCTCATATCCGAATGGCTCTCAGCTGAACTGTGCTGCTCAAAACTTAAAAGCTTAACCAGCCAAATGCTTCTAGTTTCTGGTCCTCACTCCTTATATACCTTTCTGCTTTCTGCCATCACATCAAAGGCTCACTTTCTGGGATTAAAGGCGTGAGTCACCATGCTTGGTTTGTATCCTTGAACACATGGATTTCTGCCTCTGGAATGCTAGGATTAAAGGTGTGTGCTACCACTTCCTATCCTAAGTATCTAGTGGCTTTTCTGTTCTCTGACCCCAGATAAGTTTATTAGGGTACACAATATTTTGGGGAACACAATACCACCACACCTCTGGGTTTACTTGATCTCTGCAGCAGGCCTGTGGCTTGACTTGATAATAATTAATTTAGTGTGTGTGTACACTCACATGTGTACAGGTGCATATGAGTGTGCATTTTGTGGGGGGAGCAGAGGACGGCCTTGGGTGTTGCATCTTAGGAGCTGTTCATCTTGTTTTTTGAGACAGGGTCTCTCACTAGCCTGGGACTTGCCAGGGAGCCTCAGGATCCATCCGTTTCCTTCTCTCCAGTAGTGGGATTAGAAAAGGGCACCATAATG